GCCGCAGCGGGGACGTCGCCCGCGGAAGGCAGGGCAGCCAGCTTTGCTCCGCCGAGGCCTGCTCGCTATCTCTCTCGGCCACGCGTGCGGAGGGGGCGTGCGTAAAGAAATGGCGGCCATTTGGGAGCCGTTTTGGGGCCTCGTGGGGTGTCTTTAGGGCCTCTTGGGGGTCTCTTCGGGCCTCTTGGTGCATCCTTCCTTGGGGCCTCCTGGGGGCCTTCTGAGGCGGAAGACTTGGATGTTCCGTTCGTGTTCCACCTCTTGAGCCCTTCTTGAGGCTGTTTTTGGACCCTCTTGGGCCGTCCTGGGCGCCTCTGGGGCCGTCTTGGAGTCCTCTTGCACCGTGTGGGGGCTCTCTTAGGGCTCCTTTTGGGCTGTCTTGGGGCGGTCTTGGGGGCTTCTGGGGCCGTCACGGAGCCGCCAAATCATTGAAACAACTAAGGAGAAGCAATGATTTGGCTTCTCGGAGCCCTCTTGGGACGGCTCTTAGGGGCCTCTTGGGACGTCTTGGATGCTTCTTCGGCCGACTGGAGACCATTTTGGGCAACTTGGACCGATCGTGCGGCGATTCAGGGCCATCTTGGACCGTCTTGGGAGCCAGCTAGCTGCGCTCTGCGCTACCACGGGGAATCCCTGGGAATCCCCGAGACTCCCTGGGAATCCGGGTAAACTGGTGGTCCAGAACCTGAAAACTCTGTTACTATTTATTTCTCAGGGCTTCATGAGCCTTGCTGCGTGAGCCTTGCAGCACCCCATTACGTGCTGAAGGCACGGCGGCGCTATCCAGGGCCTCTTGGAGTGCCACCAGCTTCCAGTCGGCGGCGAGCCAGGAGGGGAAGTGAGAAGAGGCGGTCTTGGATGGCTCGGAAGTCCCCCCGCCTTCTGATCAGTTTTCTAAGCCTTACCGGAAGACGCAAGACACGTCCCAGAAGGCGCGAGGGCTTTGAGAATTCCCGCCGCCCTCTGAGGAGACTTTCTCCTTCTCACTTCCCCCCTGCTCTCGCCGCCGATTCAGAGCCTGTGGTTACGTGCGTGGAGGGGAATCGCGAGCAGAAGGCGGCGGCGCGCGGGGACGAGGGGCCCCAGGTAGACGAGCCCTAGGCGGTGGGCTTGTTCCTGGGGGCCCCGTCCGCGCCTCTCTGCATGACAATCGAATCACGGGTGGGTCCGCTCACCCTCGAAGAGCTAAAAAAATGCCTTCACCTTAAGTGGGGCCTGCTCCTCTACAGAGAGAATATGCACAAGTTACAAATAGTCTGGGGATTATTGTTCTACTAGTTTTGACCATTTTGGAGCATGCTTTAACTATCTTTCATGTTTCGTCCAAAACCCCCTTGTAGGAGGACACGCCCGACCGAAGCCTCACCGTCATGAGTAGCGGCCCCCTCGCCGAAAAGGGCGCTAGCGCGCGGCCTGATAGGCCTTCGGGACGCACGTCGGCTCGCGCGTTGGTGCTCGCGGGCCCGCGGCGGCGCTGTAGCCTCGGGGTGCGGTCCAGCAGCTACGCTCAAGTCGGGCCTGTCCCTCTACAGGAGGATCATTCAAAAGTAGCCCAAAAATAGTACGGGGGCGATTTCTTGAGTCTTCTTAAGCATTGTGGCGTGTTTTTGGTAATTTTTGATTTTCAGCCAAAATCCGCCTGTATGGGGACACGCCCGACCTAAAGCTAACGCCCCGCCGAGTGCGTCCTGGGGGGTGCCCCGGTGTCCGGATCGTCCCGCGCGGCCGCCGGAGACCCGAGTTAGAGGGTGCTTTATTGTGGACTCAGGCAAGTATGGTTGCATGGCACTTCCCCCCACCCCACCCCGACGATGCGAAATGCGTGGCGGGCATGGGACGCGGCGCACATCCCGCGCGGACGTCAATGCAGTGTCTTGGGGTATCTTCCACTCGCACTGAAATGCCCGCGCAGCCCCCAGTTGTGCCATCACTGTTTCTTATGCTGTGGGAGGGCGGGTGGGAATGGGCATGCCATGCTTGATTCGCTCGATATGGCTAGCTTGACCCCACCCCACCCCACACCACCCGCCCCCCCTCCCCCTCCGTCGCCTCGTCGAGCAGCGCTGGGCCAGAAAGGCATGCAAGTGGGTCCCGAAGAACGTGGAATGTTGATGTCCTCTCGGGCCTCGCAACGCCCCCCCCCCCCCCCTCCATGCAAGCAAACTTGCCAGAATCCCAAGGAAAACAGCCTCTTATGCCCCGAAAGCCAGACGTCCTTTCGCAGAAGTGTCCTTTTTTGGTGCGCCGCTTTTGCAGGGTCGGTGGGGTCGGTGGGCGGCGCGACGACGAACCCAAGCACGCAGGTTGCCCAGCATGCAGCGGTCGGCAAACCGCTCGCCAGAGGTCACTCTTGCAGTAGGGCCCCTCTTGCGTGTCGCCGATTTGTTTTTCGGAGGTGCCGCTTTGCTAGGCTTACGCTGGGCCTGTCCCTCTACAAGAAGGAAGATTAAAACATAGTCAAACCATAGTCTGGAGTCGATTTGTTTAGCATGTTTTGGCTACGGTTGATCTTTGTTGTAAGTTTCTTTGGGGTTCGTCGAAAATCCGCCTGCAGGAGGACATGCTCGACAAAATGCTGGGGCCACCTCGCGACCCTCCCAGATCCACTCCAGACCCGAGTGGCGGCGACCCTGCCGCGCTCCGCGCGCCAGGAATTGGGGGGGTCGACCGCCGATCCAACTTGGGGGCAACGACAGGGGGGGAATAGGCACAGGGGGGGATGCATCGAGCCCCACTGGCCCATCGATCGCCGATAGGGGCCCGATGGCCCCAACCTGCCCAGGAAGGCGCGGATTCACAACTGGGGCCTATATCGCCGATCTGTCGACGATGCATCGCCGATTCCAGGCCGGCTGGCGCCGCTGGAGCAGGTCGAGGGAAGAAGTCTCGCCAGTCAGCCACCTGGGGAAGTGCCCCCCAGGGCCCCTTGGGTGGCTCGCCGAGGGCGGGGCCAGCCCCCTCCGGCGGCGCTGCTGCTCCTAGCGGATCGGCGGCGTCGGGCGCGAGCCCGCGCCGGCCTCGGCCGTCGCCCTCGCGTCCTCCGCCGCCGCGCCTTTCGCCCATGTGCAGCCCCCCTCTGTACACCTTAGGCGATGCTTAAGAAAACTTAAGTTTTCGGCCAGAGTCTCGATTATTCTTAACGTTTCAATGTGAATCTTAAGATTTGAATGGAAATGTTGGGTTTTTATTCAAGTTCTGAGACTATGAATTTCTTAACCCATGATTTCTTAAGCATTTCGCAGGGTGTAATCGTTGCCCCTCACCAGCAAAGGCGCGCGGACCTCCGCCCCCCCACTCGGCACGATGCGTGCGAGCGGCGTGCCGGAACGGGGCGGCGGGACACTGGGCGGCCATCCCCCCTCCTGGGCTGCAGAGGGAGCTCCATCTGGGGGGGGGCACGGCCCCGTGACCATGTCAGGGGCTGTGAATTGGGCTCCATGCGGGGCACGGGATGTGAGACGGGCGTGTCGACATGGGCAGGTGGACGCTGTGCGACCGCACACTTCTGGTTGTAGATCGAGTTCCCCAACTTGTGGTGGACGACGTCGCCGGTCTCGGTCTCCCAGGTCCCCTCCTGGGCCCTGGGGCCGTCAAGCGTAAGCTCAGGAATGGAAGTTTTCCCTGAAGAATCTCTGAGGTCCAGGATTTGATTCCCTCACGGCCCCTCGCTTGTTTGGTCAGTTGAATCGGGTGGGTGTCTCTGAGCTGGTTCGTCATCCCACATCGGTATGCGTGGCACTTGTGTTTCAAGTGTGGTTTCCGTACGGATGAGGCGTCGACGTTTCTCTCCCCTTCGTGTGCGCATTTTCTCTTGGCGTATCTAGGAGATGCGCAGGAGGAAGATAAGGAGGAGGAGGAGGAGGTGGCCCCATTGAGAACTCCCCTTGCTTCGTCCCGATAGGCAGGACAATGACCATGGTGAGTGCACTAGAAAGTGGAGGAGAAGTAGTAATAGGAACAAGAAGGAGGCCCAGACAGGCTTTAAATCACGCGAGAACATTTGAAGACCTTTGGAAAGCCTCCGAAATATTCGGACCCCCTCGAAAGCCTCCAGAAATTTTATTATTCTCCTTCCGTCTCCCCCCTCCTCCTGGTGGAGGAGGAACAGACTAGGACTTTCGGCATGATAGATGTTTACGACGTTGATCCTGGAGCTGCCGAACCCACCCCTAGAACCAGTCGCTCGTCACGGAAAGCTTCGCAACGGTCCTGGGGCTCGAAATTTGCTTCTGGACACCGAGATTTTGAAGATAGAGAATGAAGTCACGATTTGTTGGCGATTCTTGGAGGTCAACGTTTCCATTTTTCAACATCGAACCCCCGATCTCTCCTGGGGCGCCCTCTGACAAGGATCTTGATGCGAATCTGGCCGTTGCGACCTGGGCCCCAATGAGGTAGACCAACAACATGCCGCATGCCCCAAACGCCTAGCTCCGGGCAGGGCTAGGACGAAGACACATCCGTCCCAGAGCGTTCTGCAGCGCTTCAAGAGCGTTCCAGAACTTTCTAAGACGGCCGCGACGATCGATACACATAGCTCATGGTTTCGTCTTAGAGTTCTCTCCTTTTCTCTCCCCCATGGGGCGGACGAGCAGAAAGACGATGCAACGCTTTGCTCCCGCCGCAGTTCCTGACCCCCTAGTGGTCTCGGGAGGTCCAAGAAAAGGCTTGAAACATACCAAGCCAATCATTCAACTTTTTTGAACAAGCGCAAGAGGAACCCAGTGGCAAAGAGGAGGGAAAACAAAAGACGAAGTGACGACTCGACAGGGGAAGGCGCAGGCAGGGGGCGGGGCGGGAAGGGGGAGGGGGAAAGGTAAAGGAGGCGCGCCGGCCCGTGCCCGGACCAGCAGGCCTCAGCCCCTGACGGCCGCGGCTTCGCGCAGCCCGGCGCCGATCTCCCCATACATCTGTCACTTTTATGTTTGTTGATGCGTGGGCCCCCCGATCTCACGACCGCTTCCCTGGGGCTGGCCTTTCGTCCCGAATAATAAGCTTCTTGGCGGTCCCAGAGAACAACATCGGGCCTCCAGAGGATTACAAAACGACGGCAAACCGGCCGCCTTTGTTTTTGTCGAGGCGCGCCAGATGCATGGGTTGCAGAGCTTCGAGAGCGACGGGTAAAACGTGGCAGAGGGAGGAGGGCCAGAGTCGCTGAAAAGAGGACCGCTTTGGGCTCATGGGGGGGGTTCGGGTCTTCAGGCTGTCCCTTCGATTTATGTAGTGGAGCTGTTTGCGGTCTAGGCCCGCCGTGGCCGGAAACGACCTTTTGTGCCCTATTCCGCGTTGGTTCTGTTATGGTAGCGCGTTCGCGGCAGGCTTCAAGCAGGGCTCGGATGAAGATGCATCGCTCTAGAAAAGGTTTCTGGAACGCGCGAAACGATCGCCGCGCCTCGTACATCTTCCGGACCCTTCTGCTCTCTGAGATTCCCGATGCGTCCCTGTCCTCCCTTGGTCTGAAGGTCGGCGGCGCGCGCCATGGGGGTCATGCGCAGGGGGCGGCCCCCCAAGTAGCCGGGGGGGCCTCTCAGAAGTCAGGGGCCCTCTTGGAAGGGCCCACCGAGCTCCGCGGACGATGCTTGAGAAGCCCCAGGGCCCTTTTGACAAGGCCACTCCCTTCTGAGGAGGCCCCCCTCTCCTCAGATGGGCGGCGCAACAATAACGGGTTCGACTGCGCCGACATTCGCGCGTAAGCTTCCCGCGAAAGGTCGCGCGGCGCAAGCGCCTTCGCTTCAAATGTGGCGTGCCGCGCTGGCGGCCCACGTCAGCCACTGCGCCAGGTCGTCTACGTCGTCTTGCGTAAGACACTCTTTTGATCGTCGCTCAGATGGCAGCCCCACCGCGCCACCCCCTTGGTCAACTGACGTCCAGGGTGCCAGGCGTGGCCTCCTCGGGCGCCCCAGAGGGCGAGGAGGAGGAGGAGGATGAGGAGGAGGAGGAGGAGAAGGAGAAGAAAAAAAGAGAAGGGAGGGTGGAGGAGGAGGAGGAAGGATAGATAGAGGAGGGGGAGGGGAGGAGAGAGGGAGGAGGGAAGAGGAGGAGGGGGAGGAGGAGCAGGAGGGGGAGGGGGAGGAGGAGGAAGGAGGAGGGAGCGGTAGGAGGAGGAGGAGGAGGAGGAGGAGGGAGGGGAAGAAGGGAGGGTGAGGAGAGGAGGAGGAGGAGGAGGAGGAGGAGGAGGAGGGGACGTCACCTGAACAACTCCCCGGCCCTGGTCTGGTCGGCCCTGGGCCCGGGAGCAGGGGGCTGCGAGGCGGTCAGCCTGTGACGTCCCCACGGCTCGTGCGTGCCGCCAAGGAGCCAGGGACCCTTGGGCCCGAACTCCTTCTCTTCCTCCTCCTCCTCCTCCTCTCCTCCTCCTCCTCCTCTCTCCTTCTCTTATCCTCCTTTTCCTCCTCCCCCTCCTCCTTTCTCCTCCTCCCTCCTCGTTCTCCTTCCTCCTCCTCCTCCTCCCTCCTTCTCCTCCCTGCCTCCTGCTCGTCCCTCCTCCTCCTCCTCCTCCTCCTCCTCCTCCTCCTCCCTCCTCCTAAGCCTCCTCTTCCTCCCCCTCCAAGCCGGGACTGAACATCCCACCTGGAGAGAACGAAGGGTGGAGAGCATCTGCCCCCGAAATTCTGGCGTTCCCATTTGTTCAAAACGTACGCTTTCGCCCCATTTCGGGCCCTGGGACCCTCACAAATCGATCTGGCGCGAAGAATAGCTCAGAAAGATGGGGTCCAGGGCTCTGGCCGTGAATTTTGCAATGTTGCATTTTGCAGCATCAGATCGAAGGGAACGGAGGGTGGATACCATGTCTACCCACGGGGGCATTTAAGGCGCGCCAGCGTCCCGGTGCGTCAGAAAGTCCCCACACCAGTTTTTGAGCCCGGCCTGTTTTTGATACGCTCCCGGGGCCCGGCGAGGGCCCCCAGAGCCTGAACCTTGCGAAAACCTCCGTCTTGCATTCCAAATCATTAATCGTCCCCCGGGTCCGGTTTTTAAGGCGCCTTCTTTGTAACTGGGGAGGTCCAGTTTATTAGGGCGTTTTCTTTGCACACGGATTGGAGCTTACGGGGCCCGGTTTATCAAGGCGCCCCGTCGAAGAGGGGAGTCAGGAATATCAGGTCGCATTTGGAGGGGGTTCTGGACTTCAAGGGGGGGTTCGATTAGTAAGTGATTTGGAGTATTCTCCAGTCTGCGGGGCCCTGAGGAGGGAGCGCCCGGCGCGCTGGAGCCCCGCAGGCTCTCCCCCGAGGAGCGGCGCAGGCTGATGGAGAGGTGCGACCCGCCCTGGGGGGGGGAGGGGGCAGGGGAGCCTGTGCGGCGCGGGAGGAGGACGGTGAGGAGAGTGGTGATGATGACGGGCGCGCCAGGGTTGATGAGGATGAGGATGGGGTTGATGATGGTGATGATGGTGGTGCTGGTGATGATGATGATGATGAAGAAGAAGATGAAGATGGTGACCATGACGATGACGAGTAGGATCATGATGATGATGATGATGATGATGATGATGATTGTGAT